TTCTTCCTTCTTTCCTTCCTTCCTTTCTCTCTCTCTCTCTTTCTTTCTCTTTCTTTCTTTCTTTCTTTCTTTCTTTCTTTCCTTCCTTCCTTCCTTCCTTCCTTCCTTCCTTCCTTCCTTCCTTCTCTCTCTCTTTCTCTCTCTCTCTCTCTCGCTCTCTCTTTCTTTTTTTTTGAGATGGAGTCTTGCTCTGTCACCCAGGCTGGAGTGCAGTGGGGGCGATCTTGGCTCTCTGCAACCTCCGCCTCCCGGGTTCAAGCGATTCTTGATGCCTCAGCCTTCCGAGTAGCTGGGATACAGGCATGAGCCACCACACTCGGCTAATTTTTTGTATTATTAGTAGAGACAGGGTTTCACCATGTTAGCCAGGATGGTCTCCCCCAGCCTCCCAGAGTGCTGGGATTACAGGAGTGAGCCGCCACGTCTGGCTAGACATCTTAGTGTTTTTTCAGCTTTGATTACTGTACATCCTGGCACTGACTACAGTGCCTTATCTCCTCTTGCTGCAGCACCAGTGCCTGTGGCTAGACATGCACCGGCCCGGCCTGTGTTTACCCCTACAGTACCGTTGCAATACATTAACCTGGGATCAGCATCTGACTTCATTAAGGGAGGTAAAAAGAAGGTACCATAAATTTTAGTGTCCATTCCACATGAGGAGTTTCAAAGTATGTTTTGAAGAAGGTCCACATTTGGGAATTAATTGGAGACCTCCTTGGAGTGACTCTTCTAGGAGACCCAATATTTATCTGGATATATGAGTTTTTGATGTTTGTCTGAAAAGAAAGAAGTCTTTGTACCTAAGGTTCTTATTATCTTTAGTCTCCATCCAGCTGAAAGCATGAGGGGGATGAAAACTCTGGCTTTCCTGTCCAGAAGGGCCGTGTGCATGACTGGCCTCCTCCATTCTGTCTCCTCTCCACTCCCCAGAGGATTTCAGGGTGCTCAGGCTTTCTCCAGCTTCCCCTGTCAAAGCCACTCCAAGGGAAGAGGGGTCTGAGGTTTCAGTGACTCACCTACCTCAACAGGCTCCACTTCCCTTGCACAGGGGACAACGGGAAGACTACCCTAGCATCTTCCTTTCTACTTTCATCAGAGGTAGGAATTATTTTTAGGCAGGGCCAGATGAAAGAGTGGGCTGGCTGGGTAGCTCCCTTAGGGCAAATTCAAACAGGGCATAAACTATCACTGAGATAAATTCAAATTATGGTGCTTGTTAACTTCAGCTTCCATAGACAGCTTCTTTCACAGCTGGTGAAATATAAGTTGATCCTTTTTCATTGAAGTTTGACAGAGCCTTAGGGAAGAAACATTTTTAAACAGCCATTCCCCGAGCTACCATGACTACTAAGAATTTTGAGATGAACATGGGGTAAATACAATTAGCTGAAGTTCAGCAGCTCACTGAACTCCTGAGACCATGGATCACATGGCATATTTAGCGGGAAGAAGTGATTTATTTTGTTATCTGTGTGTTCAAATCATTCAATGTGCCTCCCAAGGAGTACTCCAGATCTAAAGAAATCTGAGAATAGACTTTCAGAAAAGTGAGAGAAGTCTTACCAACTGTTTTAAGATTGTTGATTCCATTTTGGTCAGTGCTGATTACTAAACTAACATGTTTCTATGTAAAATTTGTACTCAGAGAAAGTCAGTTTCTGTCTCTCATTAATAGTATTACACATGAAGTTTTAAATGTCAGGCTCCAAAACCACATGCCTAACTAGAGTCTCAGTGCATTTTCATCCCCTAGTTCACAGATATAGGCCAGGACTGTGCATACACGTGAGCTGAAAACACCACCTGTGATGTGGCTACAGAACTCCATTCTGTGCTGCGGTATCATTCCTGTGGCCCATTTAAAGCCTGTAGGCTGCTTTTTCCGATATCCGTGAACCTGCCTCCTCCCAACAGTGGGTGCTTGCTGTGAATTAGCCATTCTTACCTCTAACACCCCCAATAGCCTAGTGTCGCTCCCTTTGTATAATGATCTGCCTATTTTTACCTCTCTATAAGCTCCTTAACTAAGGACAAGGACCACTTATTACTTTCCATTTCCTAAGAGCTAACACAATGCCAAACACATAGTCGACAATAAATATATGTCTACTGAATTAAAAAGTAAGTAGATGAATTAATTATACAAATTTGACCTGTTGCCTGCTTACACTTGTAACTTCCACCAAACCCACCCATGTATTAGTACTTCCAGTTCTGGCTCCAACACTCTCTTTGCCTTGTCTTGCCTTACTGCTCTCTACGCCCTGTATGGATAAACAACAGTCTTCAACCAAAGGAAGTGGCATTTCAATCATTGCGTCAAAGGTGGGCAAGGTTTGAATGGAATGGGAAAGGAAGAAGAGAGGAAAAGCAAGGAAGACCTTCCAGAGGGCCCTTGACATGCCTTCTGTACGTACTGCTTTCTCTGCCTTGAATGCATTTTATACTTTCTTCCATTGCTCCTCATCCTGACAAAAACAAAAACAAATACTAACCAAACCAAAAAGAAACTATTACCACCCTTCAGAGCTTTCACCAAAGGACACAAAACCTTCCTTGAGGACCCTAGCCAAATTAGTTACTAACCACCTTCCTCAGCAATCTTAGCATCTTTTTTGAGCCTTTGATTGTAGCACCTCCTCACATTTACTCCTAGGCCTTAGTTGTTTGTGTTTATTTCTCAGTTCCATAGCTAGATTGCAGCTTACCTGAAAATGAGTTCTTCTTTTCATCTTTTTATTCCTGTAAGTGCCAAGCACAGTCGGTGTTCCATAAATATTTATTGTATTAAATTGAAGGATGCTACGGAGTTACCATTAGATAGAAGGCATAAGTTCTGGTGATCTATTGTACAGTAGGGAGATGGTGGATAACAGTAAGTTGTCGTAGATTACAAAAGAGCTAGAAGAGAGGCTTTTGAATGTTCTTACCACCAATAAATAATAAATGCAAGAGGTGATGGATATTTGATCATTATTTAACATATATTTCTATCAAAACATCACATTGCATGCCATAAATATGTGCCATTAAAATGTGTCCATAAAGCACAAAATAAAAAATGGAATGATAGCAAGGCCTTCCAGAGTGAAGACTTTGGAATGACAGTGCTGAACCGAACCTTGAGTTGTGTGGCCTTTGTTTAAATCTATCCTCATCCGTATACCGTGGCTGCTATTACCACATTGCTAATGCATGAATGCACTTCTGGTTTCTGGTTATCCCATGCCTATTTCAAAGAGTCCTTAGTATTGTGATGATTTCACATACTGGATTAAATTAACAGAAATATGAAGCCACTTCATTTAAAATACCTAAATGAGAGACTGGCAGAACTGGAAACCCAGGGCCCCTGACTCTGAGCTCCCCGAGTTCCTCCTCTCTAACCTAGCCTCTAACAACTGCAGCCTTACAGCAACAGTCATATCCTGCGCTTCTATGGCACCCTTTTCCCCAGGTTTTCATGGAGTTCTATAAGCAGTAATTAGTGCAGTTTAGACTCTACAATCCACTGTTTACCCTGGCTCTCAATTAATTAGTTAATTGCCAAGCTAGGAAGGCATGCTTTGTGTATAATTTTATCAGGGCACTCACTAGAGTGACTCATATTTGCAGATCTGCCCTTTTGTTACATGTGAGGTACACACATGCTGTGGCAACAGACACCATCCCACAGCCAGCAAGGCTTCCATGGACCTCTGAGGCAGGTGCTGTTTATTATAAACTTCCCACTTTACAGTGGGTGGGATGAATCACCAAAAGGCCCAGCAGCTTTTCCAAGGTGTAAGGAGACTGCTCTCTAACTTTGTTTAAAGACTGTTGTTTGTTCAAATGTGTTTCAAAGTGTTCAGAGGAAAGGGTTTGTCCTCTTAAGACAACCTGTGTTAACAGAAAACTAAACCCTAAAGTCCTACTAGAACTTTCCATCCAACACTGATATGGGAGTTGGAGAGGGCGGGGGATTTGAGAGGCCGCCCACCATCACTGTGTCCCAGTTGAGTCCGGTCTGTGAAAAGGAAGCTAGTTGGTGACTCCATGTTCTGAGGAAGTTTTGATTGATGGGTGTGGACAGTAAGCACTGAATTAAATAAAACAATCTTTTTTTATGGGCAAATAATTATTTGATATATTAACTGTGTACAATGTGATGTTTGATATATGTATACACCATAAAACGATTACCACCAACCAACTAATTCACCTATCCGTCACCTCACATAGTTTTTGTTTTGTTTGAAGATGAGAAAACTTAAGGTCTGCTCTCTTAACAAATTTCAAGTATGCAATGAAGAATCGTTAACTGTAGTCCTATGGTCACCACGCAATACATTAGATCCCCAGAGTTTATTAATCATAACCAAAAGTTTGTACCATTTGACCACTGTCTTATCCCACTCATCCCGCAACCGCCATTCTCATTTCACTGTTGCTTCTGTGAGTTGAACTTCTAAATATTTCACACACAAGCGAGATCACGTGGCATTGGTCTTTCTGTGTCTGGCTTGTTTTACTTAGTATAATGTCCTTCAGCTTCATTCATGTTGCAGCAAATGGCAGAATTTCCTTTTCATGGCTGGATAATATTCCTTTATACATACACACACAAAAATTCTTTATCTGTTCATTCATCAACAGACACTTAGGTTGTTTGCATGTCTTTGCTATTGTGAATAATGTTGCAATGAACACGGGAGTGTAGATATCTCTTCAAGATATTCATTTTTTTTTTTTTTGAGACGGAGTTTCGCTCTTGTTACCCAGGCTGGAGTGCAATGGCGCGATCTCGGCTCACCGCAACCTTCGCCTCCTGGGCTCAGGCAATTCTCCTGCCTCAGCCTCCTGAGTAGCTGGGATTACAGGCACGCACCACCATGCCCAGCTAATTTTTTGTAGTTTTAGTAGAGACAGGGTTTCACCATGTTGACCAGGATGGTCTCGATCTCTTGACCTCGTGATCCATCCGCCTCGGCCTCCCAAAGTGCTGGGATTACAGGCGTGAGCCACCGCGCCCGGCCTAAGATATTCATTTTATTTCATTTAGAAACATACCCAGAAGTGGGATTGCTGGATTTAAAAATGGGCAAAGGACCTTAATAGACATTTCTCTGAAGAAGACATACTCAGGGCCACCAGGTACATGAAAAGCTGCTCAGCTTCACTAATCATTAGGAAAGTGCAAATATAAACCACAATGAGATATCACCTCATATCTGTTGGAACGGCTATTATCAAAAAGATAAGAGAGAGCAAGTGCTGGTGAGGGTGTGGACACGTGAGAATCCTTGCACACTGTTGGTGGGAATGTAGATCAGTACAGCCGTTCTGGAACAGCATGTGGGTTCCTCAAAAAATTACAAGGAGAACTACCACATGACCCTAGTCTGCCTTTAACAGAATGTAAACCAAGAGTGTCTGGTGGGCTACAGAGCTAACTGGCAAGGCCAAGAGGCAAAGCTCTGCCTGCAGGATTTTCAGTGCAGGATTGTGCTAAATGCAGTAAGCAGGCTGGGGAAGGCTCTTGTGGGAGGTGGTGCCAATGGGAACCTGGAGGCTTTTGGAGTGAAAATCGGGGGTTAGGGTGGGGTGAATGTAAATCTCAGCAGGGCATTTCTGCACATTTAGGCATTTATCTTACACTCACAGTAGTAGGTACTATATCAAGATTTTAATATATTTCATATCGAGTGTTTTCATGCTAAATATTAAGAGAAGCAGTTTACATTAAAAAATTTCATAAGATGCAATTGCAAATGCCCTAAGATCTTACTGATTCTCGGTTATTGTCTCTAGTTCTTGAAGGCCTACTGCCTATAATCCTTATTCAATTGATTTTCTTTTACTTCATTTTTTAACCACACAGAAACTTTCTAAACTCTTTGCTCTTTTGGATCACATTCTGAACCAATGGGGGACATCGCTATGGTGAAGACAGTGTACTCTCTCCTCCTAAACTCAGTACATCCTAGTGTCCTATGGTATTAATATCTTACCATATCAGAGCACACAAAGTGTCAGACTCTTACCCAGGTGTGGCTACAATGGTTAGCAGGCCTGGGTTAAGCATCATGATCATCACCAAGAACTTCTTCCATGTTGACCCTGAGCCATCAACCAATGCTTTCTGGAAATGACTGTTGAACATTCAACAAGATGTGACTCCACCTAAGAGAACTCATGTGGCTCATATTTCACCATTTTATCCATAAAAACACAAAGAGAGACTTAAGTTGGCATGAAACATTCTTAGTAAATCTGAGCTGTCATCAGTAATCAATGTATGATTTTAGAAATCTTGACAAACCATCTGCCTAATAACCTGTTGTGTCATTTTCCAATATATTTTTGTAGCTTGAGCAAGCTTGGCTTCAGGTCTCTAACCAAGAACCCTATTCTCTTAAAGAAAAAAATGAGGCCAGACACAGTGACTCACACCTATAATCCAAGCACTTTGGGAGGCCGAGGCAGATGGATCACGAGGTCAGGAGATCGAGACCATCCTGGCTAACACAGTGAAACCCCATCTCTACTAAAAACACAAAAAATTAGCCAGGTGTGGTGGCACGCACCTGTAGTCCCAGATACTCAGGAGGCTGAGGGAGGAGAATTGTTTGAACCCGGGAGATGGAGGTTGCAGTGAGCCAAGATCATGCCACTGCACTCCAGCCTGGTGCCAGAGCAAGACTCCGTCTCAAAAAAAAAAAAAAAAAAAAGAAGAATTATTTTTACCTTTTTCCTTTTCCCCTGAAGACCTCCTACTTAGCTCTTCAGAAATGTAATTATAACTTTTACTTTCTCTCCACTAGACACTCTACATAACTGCGTGTTTGCTTAGAAGTTCCAGGGGCAACTGAACCGTGAAACACACCAGGCACGTCTGGAACTCTCATCCACCAGGAGACTGCCTCAAAACAACATTCAATTTACAACCCAGCTCTGCCCATGACCACATCAGCCAGACCACTGGATGGATAAGACGTCAAAGCAAGTCATGCAGACCCACACACCTCCTTACCCTGCGTGCCATTCATGCCAAGTCCCTATTCAAAGCCTCTGCTCTCTTCCCCAAAAGCTCAAGCCATTTCTTTAAGGCAGGAGCCTGTACTGTTTCCCCTCAGCTAAGCTCTGGAATAAAAGTCACTTTGTACCACCCTTGTGCTTGTTATCTGAATTTCCAAGTGGTGAGCAGCTGGACCTGCATAAAACCTCAAAGGCCTGAGTAGGTAGGGACACTGAGGAAGACAGAGCCAGGATATAGCTGTAGGACTGGCCTCTGATTTGACAGATGATAGACTGCCAGTCTAATACATAGTACCTAAAAAGGTATGGGGAACTGGGGTTGCTTTGAGCTGGCACCCACATTTAAGGCAGCTCAAGTTAAAGGGTTGATCACAGCAACACAAGCTAGGAGAGCATGGTTTCCCATCGCAGGCAGGCAGCATTCCCAGGGCTCTGAGTGAGCAGTTCACTGAACGAAGGACCTTAGCCAGAGCCCATCGGTTCAGGAAACTAAAGTACGCTGCTGGAGAGGGGAGGCTGGCAAGAGTGTTAGGCAAACTTTCAGAGTTTCAACCAGATTCTAGAGTAGAGTGGGATTCCAGCTGCACAGGAAACTGGAGTTACTAATTGAAAGACCAAAGGCAGAAACCAGGTAAATAGGGTCAAGAAGTTGAAAGTCTGGGTAACGATGCAACACGTGCCCTAGGCTCCCACTTTGTGCCCAAGATGCTAGGTCCCAGGTTCGTGGTTTCCACCCACACAATTTTGTTGTCCTGGTAGATGGGTGAGCAATGGTAAGTGCTCTTGGGAACAGAGGCGGTCAATTCTGCGGGCAGAGCTGGCCAGCCCTGGAGGAGTAGAAGCCAGCAGTGATCCCTATCGAGGTGAAATGCTCTGCCTTTTCTCCAACTTGAAAATCAAGACAATACTTACTTTGCTTGGATCTAATTTCAAATTGTGTATTTCTTCAAGTAGTGTTAGTTAAAGATAACAATTAGTGTTGAGTTAAAATTATGTTGTGATCTTAATGAAGGGTCATGTTTTTATAGAGAAAGTAGTAAGGCTTGAATCAGGGACTATTATTGTTTATCTCAATGAACCATAGGTGAAGAAAACTGATTTGCTAGATCTGTGCAACCATTAACAATCCCCACTGGCTGTTCACCTGGTGATGTTACAATTATGGGAGACATAGCGGGAAATTATTACCTTCTTTAGAGCTCAGCTGCAAAATGATACCTATTTAGAGACAACATGTCTAAGTGTGCAGCATGCCCATCTGTCTTTTCTCTCTCTCTGTTTATAATATTCTGCTTTCCTTTCATTTTTTCCTTCCCTCCGTCCCTCCCTCCCTTTCTCCCTACCTCCCTCCCTTTCTCCCTTCCTCCCTTCCCTCCCTTCCTTCCTTCCCTCCTTCCTTCCTTCCTTCCTTTTTCTCTTTCTCCCTCTCTTCCTTCCTTCCTTTCTTTTTCTCCTTTTCTCTCTCTCTCTCTCTCCATCCCTCTCACTTTAACTCCCATATGCCAGACTATTGGGGCACAGGGACAATGCCCTGCCTGAGAAGAGGGACAGAGGCAGCTGCTCACTGGGTATGACAGGAAAAAGACCAGGGATGTATGTCTCAGACCAGGGGATGAGAGGAGGCTTCCCAAGGGAGTCAAGTCCCTAAGGAGTATAGGATTTGGCCAGATGGAAAACAGCATTTTAGGCAGAGGGCATCACAAATGTGGAGACCCAGGCGTGTAAAAGAGTGTGGCTCATTTGGGGAATTGTCAAGTATGAGCAAGGCCTGGCACAAAAACACAGTGTGGGCCAGGCATGGTGGCTCAAGCCTATAATCCCAGCACTTTGAGAGGCCAAGGGAGGAGGATTGCTTGAGCTCAGGAGTTCGAGGTTGCAGTGAGCTATGGTCACACCACTGCATTCCAGCTTAGACCCAGTTCCTAAAAAATAAGAAGTAACAATAAAAAAAAATTTAAAAAAAAAACCTCAATGAAGGGGAGCTATACTACACTGGGTGTCCAGCTTGTGGGGTAGCCAATTTTAAAACCAGTCCTGGCCAAATTCTCCTCTGCTCATTTATATTGATAGCTTCTGAGTATAAGCCTTTATAATAAATAATGCCTTTTCTAATGTCACATTTTGTTTTCTTAAAAGACAGTAAAGAATGTCCATGATGGAGAAATAACTTCTTTCACATCATTAGCTTTCCTTATCTAAACAGAGAGCTCTCTGGAGGAACTGGGCATGCCCTCTTGTCTTCGTATATGATTAGGGCACAGCAAGGCAGTGGCTCCTTTTCCACCACATGCTTGGGTGGGATTTAGGTAACCTGGGTACACTCCTTTATTTGGACGTATGGATGGTTCCTGTTGGGAAGGACAGGCACAAACTTAAGGAGCATACTTGGCTTCTGGGAGTCAGGAGTGCCCGATGAGGCGTGTTCTGCATCTCTAGATGCCAATGGCCCCGGAGAAGGCAGCGTGAGTGCCAGAGGGAGCACTGGAAATGAATACCAAATGCTCCATCTTCTTCCTCTCTTGATAATGGCGCCAACTCTCTAATTGGGTGTTAGATGTGTTGTTGACAGGAAGAATATGGACTAGGATGGAACTGGAGATAAGAAGATCATGTGGACGTGAATGCCATCTGTAAACTCCAAGAAAGGTGCTTCGTCCAGCTGGACATGACTGTCTGTTCTTCTGTGGTTATCTAGCTCCACAAGGAAATAAAACTTAAGTTCCTTTTAACTTCCCTTAAGTTACCTCCAAGATGTAACAGAGGCCAGGGACATCAGGAGGGCGATGAACACCAGTAACATACAGTTTTTGGAGTAAGGATTAGAGCGGGAAGGTGACAGAAGCTATAGACAGAGACAGGGCAACGGCCAGACCTTAAAGACACACCATGAAGAAAGGCTCAGGAAATTGTTTTTGTCTTTGTTTTCTCCTTTCTTTAGTATCACCGTGGTTTCAGACACTTACAATGAAAAATGAAATTTGGGGTGGAGATGAAGAT